CTGGAAACTTCGTGACCTTTGAACCAAGCGGGGAGGAGGTAATGTCTACGGCTGTTTTCTGCAGCAGTTTTTACATAATCAGTGTACCGGTGTATCTTTCCTTGATGCGCATCACATTTGGTTTGGTTTTGTTTATATATAGACTTACTTACAGTGAACACATATCATGCAAGACTGAAAACCAAAACAAAGACTATGATTTGTCAGTGATGACAAATTTTCCGGCGATGACTGCAAAAACAGAGCGCTACAGTACTGGACAAAGCTCTGTACCCATCTACAATCCTGGCCAAAATTGTTGGGTTAATAGCCATACCCTCCCAAGGTCCCCCCACTCCCATGGTCAATGTCTTCCAGGGCTGGGGCGTAGACCCTGCATTCAGACCACCCACACTGATGTGGTCAAGGAGGTTGCTAAAGTACAGCTGCAAGGAATTTATTTTTCTTCTGCTGTGTATTCTTCTTCAATATATGAAACATATTTTACTTTACCATTTGGTTAAATGCATTGAGAAGTGCATGCTCTTACACGATTAAAATTATCCATGCTTTACCCAACAGCTGAGGGTGCACCAGCTGGGATGTCATTCAGGGAAGACATGGTTCAGTGCACAGGGGTTTCTGTTCAAATCGTGAACCAGATTTTACTAAATGGAAACATTTCTGAGAGAGGGATTGATGCTTTATTATTGCTATGCACGTGACAACAGTGAATCAGCAATGAAGAGAGCAGATGACGCAACAGTATTGCTCATCAATATGGAAATATCATTTGCAGTAAAAAGCACTTTGAAATAGCGAAATCAAAATTGACAATCAGGTCAACTGACACAAAAAGGTACATTTTGGAGAAAAAATTTGATTACAAAACCCTTTAAGAAGATCAGAAGCAAATTGACTAGGTCATTGAAGTTGGAAGACGCGGCACAGGTATCTTAATGTGTGACCTTTACAGGGGTCATGGTCATACGAGCTAAAACAATGACGACACGAGGTTTCTGGAAAGAAAAGTTTTAGGTTTTTCAAATAGGCTGTTTTTATCCAGTTTGCGTCTGTTGCATGTACAATTAACATGTTTGTGAATCTAATTTTATGTTTGTGTAATAAAAGACACTTCACATGTATTTGCAGTCAAATTTTCCCATCCATGGTTTTCCACTTTTGTGTCGTTACTCCAACAACTGAACCAAAAAGCAAGATGTACAGATTTTCTTTGACAGCATGTTTTATTCTTAAAAATTCATGAAGTCCATATTTATAATTAAGCCTTGTTTTGATTAGGGTGGACATCTCAAACCTTGTTTAAAAAGTCCATAAATTGGGTTTCATAATTACATATCAGTGCAAAAAAAAATTATTGGAAATCCACAGGAATGTCTTTGTAATGGCAACAACATATCAGGACAAAATGTTTGGTGGGAGTTAAGTAAAAAATAAATCTGAAAATCTAAGATAATCAATTAAGAACTTTGACGGACAACAACCAAAGACGACAAGTGTAATGTGTCAAGCTTGATCCAATAAGAACAAACTAATAGGAAAGGGTTGCCTGAAAGTTCTGGGCTGTACCCGAATTTGTATAACCTTAGCCAGAATGACTGCTGATTTGGTAAAAATTACCATTTACAGGGGCAGATCCAGGACTTGTTGGGGGGGGGGTTCAGACCCGTCAGATTTTCTTTTTCTTTTTTTTATATGTCCGGTTGTTGCACACAGGCAGACACATAGGTAATGCATTACACTTTTGCTGGTACACTTGCATGCACCTCTACACATATAGAATGGTGTCATTTTTAAAAATTTTACTATGATTATTTCATTTTTTTAAAAAAGTTTTGTTTTATTCAATGTAAAAGCAGGATAGCTGATCCCCCTACCCATCAAGGCCTGGTATGGCTATACTGCAAACAATAGATTTTGTCCTGAATACATCTAAAGTATAAAGATATAATTAATATTTATTTCTTTTTCAAACTGAAACAAACTTGACGGCACACACAGGTTTGGAATAGAATTTTCAATATAGACTCAGCCTATTTACAGACACATGTAGTACATACTCTGCACACAGGAAGCATTGGGGAAACTCACAAACGTGGGAAATATCTTGCCCTTGAGTGGGGGACTTAAGCCAACTGCATAAAACCTCTCTTTACAGACTTCATTAATAAGACATATTATTATCCAAATCCTGGAGTATAAACTTCAGGAATACAAGGCAGTCCTAGCTATTTATATGCTGGTATTTATGGCAGAATATCCCATAAACATGTAAAATACCACGGAAGTTTTAACAAATGCCATTTTTGTGCACAATCACAGATAGCATAGTTAATTGTTGCTGCTATTTCATAATTATCAACTCTTGAAAGTTGCATTGTAGACCAAATTTTGAGAAAGCAACAGAGAAAATAAATATTTTCAAATGTGTCTTTTTAACTGGTTCCTACCATTGCACAACACCAAACAGAGTGCCAAAGCCCCAACCCCATAAATACATACCACACATTTCAATATAAAGCCACCGTCTTTACTGCATTTCTTTTCGACATTTTTATCTGCCTAAGGAATAAATACCTTCAAAACAATGGGAGGCAATCTTAACTATTAGGGTTTATTAAACCTTGTTGAACTTATATGGCACTTTGATACCTCTTGAACCTCAATATCAAGGTTATTTCCCAAACTGTACAGATCATCACAGCACTGCACTGATTGAATCTCAGATAATTACATTAATTGACTGTGCAGAGCAATCTGCGAATCTACAGATTTGCCATCAAGATGGCCGGTTCTCTCTGGCTGAGTTCCAGCATTAGCCTCATTACCATGAGTACACTCCAGATGTGAAGGGCAGGAGTACGACGGTATGACCAACGGGTAAAGAGGACTCTCGATACCCTTGATCTGGCCAGAAATATGCTTATGTATCATGTGGTTATTTCAAGACAGCACACTACATGTATGTGCCCATGGCAGAGTAGCACATTTCCCATGCGAACCCAAATAGTGCTTTGTTTGATCACGTGCAACAGTATATGGGAATCTGTGATTACAAGAATATCTACTTTAAGTAAGCAGGCTAGTGCAGAATCAAGTCCTTCCCAGGATACTACCTGTAAAAACTTCTTTGTACAAACTGCAAGAAATCTCTGGGGGATGGATTGATTCTGTCAGTGAAGGGTAAAGTCTTGTGCTGAATATCTTGGCAGGTTTGATTTGTCTCTTCAACTGCTTTCACAATCCAAACATGATTCATACACAATTTATCCAAAACAAATTTAAGATTCAAAGCCAGAAGAAAAACAAAAACCAATCCAACAAATTTTATCTTCAAATAAAACTCATTTTCACCAAACTGATAATGCCATTCTACAGACACAAACACACACACTATTTGAAAAATAACATAGATATTTTTGTTCAGTATACACAAGTTTGAAATGTACAACATACGTGTATTTGCCAACCCAATATGGAAGACTTCAAAATCAATATGTAAATAGCTAGCATTATCAAGTACCAACTATGCAGGACAACTAAAGTTGCTTGCATTCAAAAGCATCTGCACCATCTCTCCATTCAAAGGCAATGCAGATACATGTATCAAAGAACAGATAGAATTCATGGATAAATGTGCATATTTTGAAATATCTCCACAAAAACAGAACTTTTACTTTTTGGTCAGTATGCATTTCTGTATGCATGTTCACCAAGCTTTTTTTTCAGTTATGCACTACTACATGAAGCCACTTAGACAAGCAAACCCTGTAACAATGGAAAAATGTGATTATCCCCTGTTTTTTTTTTTAAATTTAAATCAAAATGAAACCAATCCTACTTTTAATCAGTAGGATGAAGTATAGGTAAAGTGAATTCCTATTTTCTTTTTGACTTCATAAAACAGATTTTGCATTATATTTCTTAATTAAAGATTGAAAAATAAATACAAAGTTGATTGGAATGTAACGGTCCTTAATGACCATAAATGGACACGGGAGAAACTTTTAAAATTTGTTTAGGCTATTATGTACAATTCATGAACATTTACACTCTTAATGAATATTCAAATAAGGAATGACTGTACATATTCGTAATCCCTGCCCAATTTACATATCACTGACAAATGCAGTTAATGGAGATATTTACGAGGCAAATTGAGGGCCAATTTCACAAAGCATCTACAGAGAAAAACAGCTGGTACCCATCAAATTGATAACACCATACTCAATCTCTGCATTCACTACGTCTCCTAAGCAGTCTGCTAAGCAGTTTTAGACAAACTGGCCGCAAAGAGCCACTCTCACTGAATCAAGGAAACCTTGTAACACAGAAATGACATGGACTTGTAAGATGGTGGAGCAGCCAGGTTTAATACAACAAATACCTTATACTTTACAATGTAGAGATAAATACTGTATGCAGTGGCCGTCAAAATGGTCTACTCATTTTGCTGGCATTATGATAGACCCTTTATATGTAGTACAATTTATCAGAATATAAATGCTGGACAAAATCTCCAAGATAGTTGTCAGGTATAACTGGTTCCCATGTCTCAGCATTCCAGGGTGAAACAGACCTTAGAGGACAGTAACCAACCAACTGGCACAACCATAAATATACCAATCTATCTATATACAAGTATTTTACAGCACCATCTTGAAATACTGAAAAGGGAGAAACATTCGGTAAGATTTCATGCTTATTCAATCTAATATACGACATTTACCCCTCCTATCGCTTAGCAGCACAAATATGCAAGAATGCCCAGTCACTCTTTTGCACGTGTTTTTTATATGGAACACAAATATGGCCAGGTTCAGTGTGTACACAGTTGGTTGCCGGCACAAAATGACCCAGGCTATGTTGTGTTGTGCAGTCCACTTCACTGCATTTGGTTTACCGTACAATGATGCACATGAAACAGTGAGGAACGGTTGTTGGACAGCACAAAAGTGCAATCTGATATTCCTGTGAGGGTCTGTTGGTGCAGTGCACAATGTGACACAGCTGTGCATCTTTTTGCTGTTTACCAACTGACCCAAAGTGTGACTTTAACATAGGAGGGTTAAATGAATGCTCAGATCGATTCCAGATGAATGAATAGAACGACGAATGACTGCAACAAATTTTGCCCCCCCACCATCTCAACAACTATCTTGATCTCTGGAGCGGTATTAAGTTATTGAATGCGTGGGCAAGGCAGCATCAAACTACAGGTACATTCCAGAGTTGCCGCACAAGAATTAAAGACCCAAACCGAAATGTGTTGGAATGGAGTGAAATTTCCTGAAAAGATGGCGGGACAGGTAAACTACAAGAGTGAGGTCGTAGTCGCTCTTCCCTTGCCTTCCACCTCTGCAGCCGGGGCTCGAATCCCACCCAGGATGATGAGTTTTTAGTCCCCTCATGATCCCATGGTTTTACCTGGATAATTTATCCGAGTTTTCCTCCATCCTCTAAAACTGAACATTTTGCCATTGTCACTTAAAATCATCATGTAAGTGGTGACAAATCCGTGGGTAAATGAACAGAAATCAATACAAAATTTGAAAAATTAGGTTGTATGCCAAAACATCTCCATTTTTTTATGCAACACATCAAAACCACATCTTCTGTTTGCGATCAACAAGCCTTTAAACCTCTTGTGATGAGCAGACATTTTCAACTCTTACATTTCAGAACTTTCAAAGTCTGGAAAGTTACTCAGCACCATTTGTAAACAGGTAAACCTACTTGCATCTAGTAACAGACAGACGGGTTTCTGATCCCCAGTATCACAGCACCAGCGTCTCCCCTCTCAGTTGGGGCTAACTTTCCTGCTTCAGACGGCAAATTCTGGTGGTAGATTGAGCAACTGCCATTGCAACCTACACACTCCTTGCCTATACCGCCACTTTTTTGACAAGACCTTGCTTCTCATACAAACCCTCCACTTTTATGTTACTTCACCTTCTGGTGCCTGGCTCCCTGTTTTGGAAGGAAGCTGTTGGCAGTTGAGGCAGGAGTCTCTGAGAGGGCAGCTGAGGAATCCAAACTCTGTTATTTGTGTTTTTGCTCATTGTTGCCATCCAACCCTTCGTGTGGAACAGCTTTCATATTTTTCGATGTGCCTGATGCACTCCCTTTGCAGGAAGGTACAAGCAACCCCTACAAGTTTTGGTGACAAAAGCGGTAGCAGACAACCTCTACTTCCTCGGGTGCAGGCATCATTCATCAGCTTCCTCAGCACAACCTGGCAAACAAACTGGACATCTCTGATGCTATAACTGTGCTTCCTTGCAGGAAAACCACAACAAACCCCACACTTCCATTTCAGTTTCTTGCTCTCCTTTGCCTGCCTCGACTCCAGGGTTGGTAGGGATTCTTTTTCAGTTTTTCGGTGGCAGAAGTAGTGAGCAGTTTATACAGAATGAAATGACAGATCCAATGCCATCACTTGTGCTTCTGTTTGCTGTCACCACCCAGTTTCTTGAAGAGAGCCTTTCCCTTGGACAGCAGACCTTTCTTCTTTTTGATGTGCTCTGGAGTTCCCATGCTGTCCCCTGATTGGTCGGCTACATCTGAGTTAGACCTCACCTCCCGACCTTTGACTGGGGCCTCTCCATTCTCCTGATGTCGTGTATGCTGGAGCTAATAAACAAAAAAAGCGAGATTGTTTAATACAAAACTCACTGTGGCAAGAGGAGAAAAGTGGTTAGGATGAAAAACGAAGTAAAATGAAACAAAGCTATGGATTCACAGCAGAAACCAAGCAAGATTTGGATTGCCATTGCAGTTAATGCTGAGATATTAGACAGAAACAAACACTGCATTAATAGGCATTTCCCAGAAAAAAACTTACAGAAGCAAGTTAGACAAAATGGGGAATGACCCTGCTCCATTATGATCCATGACCCTCATCAAAATTTACCGATTCCCTCAAAAACTGGGAGGAGATCTCTCCTCTGTGAAACAAGTCCTCGCTCAAAATCGAAATGCAAGCTCACATAAAAGACATCAAGTGGAAAAAGGCAAGATCAGGGGGTCTTTGAAACGGCTGCACTACACCCTGTAAGTAATGTTAGTAAAAGATACATGTCCACTTCCAAAAGCACACAAGCCACAGCAACAGTTGCTCATTAATGATTTCATCACAGCAGTATTGCCAATCACTACACATGGATTTATCAATCAATCCAGAGCCATGATACTGGACAGCCAAATTGAAAATGGCATCTTATGTCAGTTGCCAAGGTTTATGGTTGAGCATGAAAGTCACTCAATCAAAACCCCATGCTTTTGCGACGGCCATTTCAGCTGACTAGTCAATGTGCAGAACCAACACCCTTACAACTGACATCACACTTTGGTAGCCCATTCTTTACAAAAAAGTTTGGTGTTTGGTTATTAAGACAGATATGCTGTTTGCCTGTTAGCTCCCTTTTTTTGCCACCACTGAGGCCGTGCATGCTTACAAGACAGGGTTAGCAGTGTTACAGAGCCTTCCTTACCCACTAGCTCTTGGTGACTACAATATGTGATGATGATGGAGGTAGTGATGACAATGCAAGCATAATGAAGGCAACGGGAGTAAAAAAAGAGCAAAACAAAGAACAAAAGAGCAGATGGATCAAAACATGCATGGACGGCTAGGAAGATGAACCAATCAGGAAAATATGTTGACTGCAGTGATGTAGTCGAGATCTCTCAGGACCATCACAAGACCCTCCAAGAACATCACAAGACAATTACAAGAATTCCAGTCTGACGTAAAGTCACAAGCTATTCAGCACTGCAACAACGGCACTCCTTTGCCGCAGTTAACCTCCTTTTTGACTGATCTTGTGTCTGGTCTTGTGTCTTGTCTTGTGCTGGTCTCAACTACAACACTGGTTGACTACAATAAATGGCCAGGACTAGTGCATTACTAATATTGGTGTGGTGCTGAAAGATTTGCATCCAACTTAATACAGGTAGTTCTTCTTTTTTCACTTAAGTTTCGGATATGCAAAATCACAGAAGTTATAGGAAAATGTGACGGACAACGGTTAGGATAATTACTTTATTCACTGAAGAGACTTAATGTAGTTATGATTGATAATCCAAGCACAACAGTATAGACATCTGCTCTTTTCAGATTAAGCGGAATATGTGTCTTTGGTTCTCTGGACCAAATTAAATCAATTAGATAAACCAAAATCAAATGATTTTCAGCTAAAACAGTAGCTGTCAAGTTAACGTGGTGGTGCCCTATCTGGCTACATCTGCAACTTCAGACTCCATTGACTCCAGTTGGATTCCTGATAAAAGACTGAGCTTTTCGGCACCCATCTGATTGCACACACACACCTAGTGGGAAACTTCGCTCTCAGCCCCTATGCAATCACACAAGCGCCTTCCAGTATATACACCAGTGACCCAGTCTAATTCCTGGTAAGGGACCAAGTTCTTTGTCCCCACTTAAATGCTTGTGACCCTTCCGGCACTGATGGTCCTCACTCAATCAAAGTACTGAGGGGAGAGTACTTCTATTCCAACAGGATTCTGGTGCAGGTATTTTCCAAGGCATATTTTCAAATGGGGGTTTCCATTTTACATTTCTTAAACTGGGCCTTTTGTTCAATGTATTCTTCATGACAAAGTCTGGCTCCGAGGTCGATCAAATCACAGGGAACAGTTGGGATGAACAGCAAGATATGGGAGTGTCAATTCGAAATCGATTCTGTTACTTTGCCTATTAAACACCAAGGGCCAAATTAATAGCGCTGCTTAATTTAAGCAAAAATGTGTTTAAGTGTGAAAAAACCTTGCTTGACAAATCTGGTTACCAGCCAAAACTTCTCGTGATGTATGTTGTTTTGGAACAGTATTTACCTGTCTTTTGCTTAGCATGACAATCACATGGAGTTTGAGTTGGTAACGTTTGTTTATCAAGCAAGGTTTTTTCGTGCCTAAGCAAATTCCCCAGAGAACACAAGAGATGTAATTCCTAATTAGCACTTTGTAATATTTTCTCCCTTCTCACCTGTGTCTGCCTGTCATCTGATCTCACCGAGGAGTAGCTCCCCCTGCTGCCCCGACTACCTCGGCTCTCCCGACTGGGGGACGGGCTGTAGGCCTGGTGGGAGGGGCTATATGGCTGGTGGGTGGGTGTGCTGTAGGGCTGGGGGCTGGGAACAGACTCGGGACGGGGCGTGTCACCGATGGCTTCAAGGAAGTTGGAAGGCACCAGGCCCCTTTGACCATGGAGCTCACCCTGGAATGTAAAAAGATGGAGAGTAATTATTGCATTTTGTTTAATTAACAGACAAAATATAAAAAAGACGATTTGTATCTCTTGTGTGAGATCTGTTTATTTCAAACATTACACACAAACTGACTTCCCTAAAAGTATCTACACCATGCCATTTCATTTAAAAAACCTGTTTACTTCTAACTGCAAAATTCATTCTTGAATCTATCAAAATCCAGCACATTCTTTGAAAAAAATCATTGAAGTACTGAAAAAGAAAGGTGTGGATTTGAATGGATTCATGTATCAAATGAGAAAAAGTCATTGGACATTGCTCTTGTTATACTGGCAGTAAAGTGATCTGTTGTCCTGAGTAAGATTCAAAATAAGAGGGGTACACAAACCAGTGCATCACCAAACATTCCATCCTCAAAGTGGCCACTTTTCAACTTAATAACTTGTTCCATATAATGACACCAGGTTGCCATAACCTACTTTACAAATTATATAGTAACCTTCCAAAGAAAGGAGAAGAAAAATAGATAAATTTTGAAAGATTTTGTTGCAACACAAGTCTGGCTACGAGAAATAATAAACCAGACTTTTTCAAGATGTGCTTTGCGCTCAGGGAGATGTTAATTTTCATGACAGGTTTTTGCCTTTGCCCGACGTATATTCATAAACACCATATATTCATTGCTTTTTGAAGACCTTGTGAAAAATTCACAAGCTTACTCGGGTGGGACTCAAGCCCACAACCTCCTGCTTACTGGTGCAGACGTCTTAACAAGCTCTTGGACATGCACTGAGTATACAGTGTTTATGAATATATGTTGAGTGAGGGCAAAATCCTATAATTAAATTAAAATAGACTTCTTGCTTGAGTACAAATGTTTTTTTACAGGTAAGACAGAATTAACAATTTAAACACATTTTTTCTTGCACGCTATCTTCCATCTGGATATTCATGCTTCACTTCAATACAGTGACTGGTTCCCGTACGACCCACAAACACACACCGCCGATTAGAAACTTCATCTTTCTTCTGCTTTCCAGACTAGAACACTCACCAAGTAGAAACCATCGTTGTCCATCTCCCCAAACACAACAATGATGTCCCCCTGGTGGAAGTACAGCTCTGCCTCGGCGTCGGGATTCGGTGACAGCTCCTGAGGGTTGTAGTCAAAGAGCGCCCTCATCTTCTGGGGCCTGGCATCAGGTGGAATGCGAAAGCTATTGATGGGGCTGTGGAGTAATTGCACTGCTGGGAACAGTGCGGGAGAGAAGAACAAGAAATTCGCATCAAAATGCTTAAAACCTAATCACTAATCTGCTCACAAGTTGATCAACTTTGAAAGTATTGCCCCTATAAAAAAAAATCACAGTCGTCGTGGATGATTTGTGCACTCTTGAGAAGCAAAACTAGACAGCCCTTCAGGGCAAATGAACGTGCGGTTTTTTCCAGTGCCTTTAGAACACTGTTTTCATTCATGCCTGAACATGGCCAGACAAATAACCTTCTGTATGAAAACAAAGCTGGAAATGTTACGCTCACTGTAGCTAGTTTAACCCTAAAAGAGCTGATTTCACAGATACAAGAAAGGGGGAACCATCCTTCCTTCCAAAAGATCTTGGCTATGCCAATCTTTGAAACCTTGGCATGCATATAAATGCATTATGAGTAGACCTGTGAAGTTTCAATTCTATCCAACATAGGGATTTGTTGTTAGATCACAAACTTACAGTGCATGCTTGTGTGCCAAAGTGCAAAAAGCACAAGTCAAGGGGTGAAGTTCACATTTTTGTAAAATGTCTGTCAACATGACTGTAAGACATCACTGGAAAAACTCCCAAAGGCATGACATTTCCGTCATGCCTCGACATGACAGAAATGTTGAAGGGAGATTTCACACTCCCCTCTGTTCATTTAGTGTTAGACAAAACCCGTCACTGCGACCTAGAGACCTGAAGAATACCCAAAGGGAGAAAATAAGATATGCTCTCAGGATTACGGTGCAACTTCTAAATCAACACTGAACCTTCAGAACTGCATAAAAGTGCCTGAAGGAGCTTCCTAGAAACATGCAATACGTCAGGCATGGTGCAGGCTGCCGCATGAGTGGCATGACAGTGGACACTGGCATGATAGTGGCTTTACCTGGACTGCTTGTGGTGGTATTTAGGCTGCTGGTGTAGCCCACCCTGTCCGGGGAATCCCCCGATGTGGCCGTGCTGGCCCTCTTGGGTGGGTTCAAGGGGGTCTGTTCCGGTCCCTCCACCTCCTCCACCATGTTGTAAGGGACGTAACCGCGCTGGCTATTCAGCTCTCCCATGTAGAAGCCGTCAGCGTCCTTGTCCCCAAACACCTGGGGTGATGACCAATGTCAAGAAATGTCATTACCCCCGGGTCTGCAACTTTTGGCTTACGTTTGATTAATTGTTTCCTTTCTGATTATGGTTTGATTACATGAATAGCATTTTGTGTCTGCTATTTTCATGCAAGGTAGGCTAATATTTACAATAATAAGCTACGTAAGTCTAGAGGATATTTTTGCCACTTGTATCTTTTAACTCCAACCTTTAAGTTTGTTCTACATTTTTGGCAAAACAATTTTCCCTTTTTCAGTTTATACCTATTTTACCTTTTAAGAAGGAAGCTTTTACTTTCTAAACCTGTTTTCTGATTCATTGAATAGAAAAACAAATATCAAATATCCCGTATATTGATTAACCATATCAAAATACTTTGCTGTCATGTCATTATTCCAACATAGACAATGGAAATATACCCTGTAGAACAAGTAAGTAGTTAAAAGCATGGCTTCCGAGTTATTTAAATAACAAAAATTCTCCAATATTGGAATGAAGGAAAGTATACCAAAACTACTCTACAATGTCAACATATGCTGAGCTTGGAGCACTGCCGTTTATTGTACCCACCTTGATAATGTCTCCCTCCTTAAAGGTGAGTTCCTCATCCACTGCGTCAACATTAGGGGACATGGCAGTCGGGTCATAATCATACAACGCCACAAAAAAGCGTATCACGCTGTCGTCAAACAGTTCTTCGGGCCCCTCGCTCACTGAGTAGTCCTCTTCGTCCTCATAGGTCCCCGTCTCGTCCGTGCGCGAGTCCATCGACAGCTTTCGTTGTCTGTCATTGTTGGACTTGGCATCGTAGTCTTTATAGGTTGAAGGCTTCATCAGCCCTGCTGGCTGCAGGTCTTCCCCGAGGCTGCTCTTGCGGGGGGAGCTGGGGCGGGGCGGCTGCTCCGTTGATGGGCGGGACTTAGGATCGGGTGCGGCCAGTGGCTGTTGGGGGAGGGACGGCTGACCGGTGGGTTCCGAGCGCTTTTCAGAGGCAGCTGCTTTGCGGGCTTCATCTTGGGTGATTTCTGTAATAAACATGAGATTTGTTCTCAAATGTAATGTTCAAAGTGATGAAAATTTAGAAAATGTTCTGCAGACTGAGAGAAGCCTGATAAGTTATTTCCTTTCTTACAGCAATTTTTTAATAAATCCAACTGATGGTGAAAGCAATGGGGATTAAAAGGGTAAAAGTTCAATATCTGCCCACCATAATTCTCAAATTTGATAAACATCGGCGAGTTTGACAAGTGTATCCAAAAAACAACCTTTCTCAGGTAATTCCACTTACAGACTGGACTTGTCTTTAATGAAAATATGAGGTGAGATAGAATTTATTATGTTTGGAAGCAAAATAGGTGTTGGCCAGATATTGATCTCTTGCCATTAAAAGTAAATCCAGTCTTTGCTTTCATAACAAATGAGCCGATATTCCTTCAGTAAATATCAAGTTGCATCAAGGTAGAGTCTTCAAGGTGAGGGAACCTGTTGGTTGGACCCTGAAGCCCAAAACAGAAATAAGGCTAAGGCTTGAAAAAGGGCTGGAGCGCCTTACCGATATGCGGCACAGCCTGGCCTGGCTGGCTGGTCTGCTTGATGGGCACCGGCTCCAGGACCTGGTTGTGGGGGGACTGCTCCGCCTCCCTATCAAAGTCACACTGCTGGCGGATGACCTGGATAGGCCGGCACTTGTCTGATTTGTTCAGGCTCTCCAGCTCGGGGTCTGTGTCCAGTTCAATGTCGGGCTTGGCGTTGTACTGTGAAGAGGATTTGAAAATGATAACATGGATATCTTACAATCAGCGTTCAAGAATGCAGTGGTAATAACAATTTCACAAAATGTGAGATAAAAGGAAACATTTCGTTTGTCAACTCATGAAACTATTTTCATTCCCTGGACGTGAATCCTCGTTACTTATTTTACACAGTGTTACAAATATCTGGGCAAAATCAACACCTGAATAGATCCTGCATCGTCTTTGAGTGAAGGGAATTTCTTTTGACTGTGGAATAGAATGTTATAATCACTGAGGAATAGAACTTCTGTTGCATAGCTAGTTCGGCTGTGCTGTCAGTTGGGAATGAACAGAGATGTCTAATTAATGGTCCAACAATCAGACGAGGGAGATGTATTCTGGTGTTGCAGGACTCCCCTTTGGAGAGTCAGGTTGGTGTAGTGGTTCTTTCCTCACCTTCCACCTCTGTGGTTCCGGGTTCGATTCCCAGCCCAGACCACCTGTGGATTGGGCTTTCAGTCCCTACCTGATTCAATGGGCCTTACCCAGAATATTCCTCTGGGGTTTCCTCCCACCTCTAAAACTATAACTGTTCTCATTGTCTTATAGCTACAGGTTTCTTCAAGGCTTACAAGCTTACAGTGCCTAGGACGCTCAGTTGAGGAATACTTGCTGTCAATGCCAGAAATTAAAATAATTATGATAATGATGTACTTCATTATTTGTTCTTTCCAAAAGAAAAAAAAAATCCGACAAAATCAGTTGCGGGGCTGTAGTTGGGGTCCCTTGCAAAACAATGAACTAGGTTGGACTAAAAGTCCCTTGGCAAGTAACAAAGGAGCGCCTTTGCCACAATGCGTATCAACTGCTTGTGCCCCAACTCAAACCTAGATGACTTGTGACGGACTTTCAATGCTGACTAATTGAGCAAAGATATAAAGAGTGCAAGGAAACCAGATTCAGATTTCTCTGTCTGAAAACTGAACTAGCCAAGCTCCTGGAAAAAGTTCAGTTAATATGTCTGTTTTGTATTTCAACTAAAAGCATTTGACTTAGTTGTGCGCTCTCCAAGGCAGCTGGATAGATCGTATCCTACTGCACAGCCGTTCAAAATGCATTTGTAAATAAGGTGTGACATCACTGTCGTAGGTCTATTCATTGACTAGGTTTCCGTATGGGACATATGCTTGTTACTTCTGTTGGTAAGAAGTTCAGGATTGGCAACGTTTCCTCCAGCTCTCGGTTCACTCCTCCACCCACCTTCAGAGTCTCTTGCACCTTCTTCTGCTCGTCCTCCCTCCGCTTCATCTTCTTCAGGGCCTTGGCTTCACTCTCATCGCTCAGGCCCGGCAGGCTCCCATCGGCAAAGTCCGACAGCTCCTCCTCGGCCTCCTCGGCAATGTCCGAAAGCTCTGAGCGCTCGCTCTCTGAGGTGTAGTCCTCCCGAGGGACTCGCGCATCAGCCTTCTAGACAGAGAAGGGAAAAACGTGATCAGCTCCAATAAGTGGGGAATGAGAATTTAAGCAGGCTGCAAATGTATCTTTCTTTTAAGGTTTTACAAGGTTCTAACAAGGTTCTGGGTGCATAGTAGTGCAGAACCGCAAGCTACCACTTGTTTCATTTCACATTCATTCCCTAAAGCATCCAAACCACCAAGTGGTTACACTTTGCAGAAATAGCTTCACCTTGACCAGGTCCTCTTTCCCTGTGGCATTCTCTACGGCCTTGCCACTGCTAGCTGCAGCTGGTGGTTTGGTGTTCGTCAGCGTGGTGCCACTGTCATGGGCATGGTGTAAGTCCTCCGATCTAGAGCTGTGGGTGGAGCTATCCTCCTCCTCCGCACCGTGGTACATGGTGGACGGATGGGAATACTGCAAGATTCAGTCAAAAGAGGGGGAAAAAATCAGCACACCTGCGAACAGAGACACGACAAGTGAGCAACAACTGTCCATGCTGTTTTTTAATCACTCTGCACGACGCTTGATGCAAAATCTACAATCGTCTCAATCCAAAACAAGCACAAGGATTTGCATGACTTGGCCGCAGAGGGCACTTTGGGGAGGTTTACAGCTAGCAGTGATGGCAATATCAAGAAAATGATGGTTACTGAAGATATGACGAGATGAGTGAGTTTGTTTTGCAACAGACGGTTTCAAGCTCCATATCATATCATTCAGAGGAAACTCGGGCACGCACTCACACACAAGAATACATCATTCAATCAACTCTTTCTGTTCATGTCAATCTCAAATCAGAAGTCTGGTGAAGCTGATGATGGCTACGTAGAGCAATCACAAAGGGATGTATGCATGATCCAAGACTGAATGCAATGCAAGCTGCAAGAAAATACTTCACTGCCAAGGGTTGCAGAAGCAAATTTCCTCACAATCCATCCTCTCGGGTATTTCCCAAGTTTCCTCCCCTGCAAATCACATCATGATCAATTTCCACACAGTGCAAGAGCAATCCAAACGTGTAACTGTGGTGACAAGTTTAGTCTCTGAGCTGTAGACTCACGACAGTTGTGCACGTTTCAACACCAAAAAAAGAAAAAAAGTCTCGGCAAGAATGACAAATAGGGCTGTGCCAAATATCCACATAACTAAGTATTCGATCGATTGTCCGATAATCGAATATTATTTTTCGAGATTGAATATTCAAATGCAAAATTCACAAAAAGTTAGGGAAAATTTCCTTTGTTTTAAATGAGAAACATTGCACTATGGAGGCTTGTTTCAAACAGATTCAAATGAAAAGCATCAGAAATCTTACAACAATTTTAAAAGTAAATTATTCCTTAAATAATTTAGAAGGAATAGACATTTTCGACAGGGCTATATGTCTTGTTTATCTCTTAAATCTTGCTAAATCGTAGCTGGAGACACTCCTAGATGTGAGAAGCTATGATGTAGATCATAATGTACAATTATGTGTGTTATTGCAATGATTTTGAATATGGTTTGTTCATCAACAATCTGCCGGTCAGTACGACTGCTAGCACGCACGATGTTCATTGCTACATGAAGTTGAACAGTCAACGCTACCCCCTCTGGACAGTCCATGTAGCGCACACGTGGCTTGGCCTGTAAGGCAGGGGGTGCGCATAACTATAGTAACAGCTCGCTGCTTAAGAAATTTTGTGAATACGCATTTGCGTGAGTGAAGGCAATGTAGCCGTATACCATGCGGGCTGTGCAAGCCTGATCGCTCGTGGTATGGTCTCTCCAACCGGCATGGCCGGCGAGTGCTAGCGCTGCACTGAATTTATTGTTAATTATTTTGACAACTCACTGGAAAAGGCACAATGGCCAAAGTGTGCATAGGGCAGAGCAAAAGTGGCCGTGGACAATGCAATTTTCCGAGGGGGATCACTGCAAGTAAAAGGGCATCGACGGCTCTGGCCGTCATGGCCGTCATAAATTTCGAACCCTGCAGTGGTGTGAAGACTGGAAAAAATTATGCAATAATAACGGTTTAAGTTGGCACATCTCGAGCATATGTCCTGTTTCTAACTGTATGCTCTTGAGGTTAATGGAAATTAAATTTACAAATTAAAGAGGCCGCGCGTAATAGAACAATCTACTGAAGAATTCCACAAAGTCTCATTTTTTGAACTCTTGTCAAGACAAAAGCTGACTCCATTTTGTTTCAATCCCCTTTTCAACTTTGATACTGTTAAAACCGGGATAAGGTATTGGAGCAAGTTTGATCAAGAACCATGTGCACATTAATCTACAGTTCAATCTGAACACAGTGACAAAGGCTGTTACATTACGGGTTATTTAAAGCTTATGCATGGTAGGATTTGAGCACAGTTAAACTAAAACTTCTGCATCTAAAATGACTGTAGGCAAGTACCTAGTGTGGCACAAATCAACCATTTGCAGACTACAAACAGTCTTGGAATGAATTTTCTCCACGTAATATGTGTATAAAACTTATATAAATGGGTCATTCTATAAATTAGGGGTCCAATTTGTTTTACGTCCCTGTCACATCTAACATATGATTTTGTAAGTTCAGGGCATATTCTCTAATTTCCAAGAGTGATAAAGTATGGCAAATAACCTGCCAGACAAATAGAAATAGTTTGAAATCAATTTCAGTAATATTTCCATGTCAAATTACACAGGTCAGGTGGAACGGTACACAAAAATATCACAATTTTTAACCCCTAAATTAATAAAATGACCCAAGTGTCTACATTTAGTGAAAGCTAGAGGCAAACTCTTAGAAACAGTTACAATGTTTCTGACTTGAAGAGCAGTGGGTGACTCTGTGCTGAGAGATGGGCAGATGACAAATGCAATGTTAATTGGAAATGGTAAAAAGAGAAACACAACACGGCATTCACACGTCATCCTGATTCTCAGGGGGTGGGGGGTAGAAGCACCACTATCGCTAGCCACTCACTCTGCGCCTACTCTTCCTGCGGTAGTTAGTGAGGCGGTGTCCGCCATGGGAATTACGCCGAGGAGAAAGCTTGCGAGAAAAGGGGATTTATCACACAAGATGTGATCAAAGTAATCCATGTAATTTTTAGCACTTAAACTGCTGTAAACTATAAATAGAAATTCTTGACCAAATTAAGACTTAATCCAAGTCCTACGGACTGTGCCACCAATTGAATTGGCCCATCAAGTTCAAAACAGGTCTACACACAATGCATCTCCTTCGTGCATGACCTACAGAGGGCATTTTGTGTAGATGCATGGCTGCCAGTCTGGTGGGTATTTCACTGTTCTACAAAGCACTTTGCATATCCTATATAGCATATTGTAGAGAGAAAGCTCTTGTGTATCAAAAATGATTAGATTGATTTCATTAACCGTCCCTCTCCAGCATTCTGCACAGATGAACAGATTTCATGAGGGAATTTTTCAGTCCAAATCCTAAGCAGTCTATAGAGCCAGAGACATTTTGACTGTTGTTACTGAATTAACAACTTAACTTTTCAACACTGGGGATTATGTTTCAAATCATGGCGATGCCACTGCATAAACTCAACTTGATATCAAATGCCACAAAAAGCTCCATGTTTCAGACAGTTTGTTGCGATTACCTAACACTCCTCAGCTTAAAGTGGACATCCACAGAATTGGGATATCCACGGCAGTGGCATACAGCCATAATTCCTTTGATCAAGGAAACAAAATAAGCCATTGGTCGCTTGCACACTAACAGAGTTTTGGAGGATTCAGAGAGAGACCTACATGTAATTAAAAAGCCTGAAGAGTTAAGGTTTAGGAGGACGACAAATAAGACACACCATGCTCTGCATGGCTGGAGAGTAATCACCTTAGCCTCCATTGCTCGGAGTGTGGCTTCACCACGCCTTTCCTCCAGGAGAACAGGTGGTATCCGGGCCGGCACCGAGTCGATGGAGAAACCATTTGGGGAGAGGGTTCTGACCACCACGTCCCGCGCAGCGAGAAGCTTCAGCTTATTGAGGCTGACCGACACTTTGTCCGCTATCGAGAGAAAAGAGTTGTTCAAAGTTGAGAACAGGAAATGGCAGGGTGGCTTTGTTCACTGTTTAGAGGCCGATGTGGGACATGATCATGATGGACTACCTTCTGGGTGTTTGCAAGTCCCCCTAGAAAACTGATTTATGGTGCTTAAAAAATCAATTCTAACCATGAAGGATGTCTTCACTGAGTGCTTTGAACAAAAAGGAAGATGAGTGGATACAAAGTTTGCCTTGGGCATCTGCTTTCTTAGTTATCATACACTGACTAGGGGTAGAAAACTGCACAAAATATGTTCCCACATAAGCAGAACTCATATTACTGACCCTTCCAATGTAAAGATAATGTGTTCAATCATGAACAGAACATAGTTACCGCCCTCTAACTGGTTATTAGAAAAGTTTCCATTGCTATGAAAAGAAAACCAAAGAGAAAAAACTGCAAAACGAAAAATGAGGATATGAACATAATTTTAAATGACCTAACAAAAGACATGATGAACTTTAGATGAACCTCCATAAAACACTACATTGCCAATATAATGATGTAGGTTTCCTCTAGACTTGTTTCAATACTGATGGCCTTACGAGATTCAAAATTTTCTTCAAATGATCCCCCTCCCAACAGAGGACAACTTTGTGGTCAAACCTGTGGGGGAGTGGATTTCAGCCACTTTGGTGTCTTCGGCATACACTGCGTAACCGGTAACCACAGCACCATTAGATAGCCCCGACGTTGTTATGGTTACTGGTAGCCATTCCACCACACAAATGGCAGGTGAGGCTCCTGCTTTGACTTGGACATCCAGTGGGGCATCAGGAAGACCTGACAAGGGGGGACCAAAAAAGTAAAGACTACATGTATGTTCAAAAAACTTGACCAACATTCAGAGTGACACTTTTTTCCACTGACCGCCAGTTAACGAAATGACCACAATGAAACCGAGGTAGGGCCTACAGATAGGTCCAACTATCCATGATCTTGATGATATTAATGCAACTGGAACTTGAACCCTCCAGAACGATTGGTCCGGAGAGATATTCACTACACCTTTTGCGGCCATTACATCTCGTCTGATTCTCATGCTAACAAATTCTGAAAAGCCACGTAAATAGTATCTCTTGGAGAAACATAAAGGCACTCATGACAAAGGAGAGTCCAAACATTGAACTATTCCAACTGGCGGATCCTTGAGGAGTTACTTGGGACACACCCACCATTCCCTGAATATCCATCATGGGTTCTGAAACAGTGTAACACAGGCACAGCTCTGCTTGAGAATTTAACGAGTTTCAAACACGATCGTATGGAAATCCTTGCTACCTTAAACCATTTTTTGAATATTTATGATGCACTAGGACTTAACTTTCAGGGAAAAAAATCCCAAAATTTTTCAACAGGGATAATTTCACTTTTTAAACAATTTTTACTACTTCAAATGAATATCTTTGACAGTCTGTCCACCTTGATTACAACAAATAATACAGGCACATCAATCCACTCATGGCAACAACGGCTGAGGCTCAAAACAAAACAAACTGAACTGTCATATTGTCTTTGTCTGCACAAGACTTCCTGTGTTATCTGCCAGTACTGGACCAGCACTAAAAGAAACAGCGCCGTGTTGTTTGTTGGCTACAGGAGGCATGCGTGGTTTTTCATTCACAAAATAGAGGGTGATGTTTACTTTACAAAAACTGAGGACCAGAGCATTAATATGTGACTGAAATGATAGTATTTCAATTTCAACAATGTCAGACTCTAGTTAGCCACTGTTACGTACATAAAGGAAAATAAATTAACCATGTACGGACAAGGCAACAGCTATAGAGTACCGAAGTGTGACGTCGTTTAGAACCAGGAAGTGCTGTACAAACAAATGGAGTAAGCGCACGTTTTGGTTCCCGAAGTGGTTCTCGCACTGATGCCTCTTACACACAAAATTGCGAGTGTCACGTATCCAATTCGGTACTCTATAAAGAAGACACTGCCAGATACATGTAAAACTGTCCTATTAAACCTACCGCTCAAGTACAGATATGCCAAACTACTTAAGACTCAGCTAGAGCAGAGCATTAGCCTAGTCCAGCAACCACAATATTGGGCTTAAATCACGCTCATAATGCGGCATGTTCTTGTGTCTGTGCATGTGCATACTGGCCTGTTCAGATGTGCCACTGATCAATGGGTGTTTGTGCAAGACTTGTGTAATTTGTCAGCCAGAATTACGAACCAATACTGCAGTGGCGCAACACTCGTGGACAGGTGGTACGCGCATGTTAAATGCCTCTTCGACCAGTAGGATGTCGTGATTTACCGAATGCACGCATGTGTCAAGCTTAATAGAAAGTGCTTGTGAGTGCGTTGCAACCGCAATTACAGCTTCTAATCGGCTCAATCAGGCATGCAACTTGGACGTTGATGAAAAAGAGGAAATTCCATTCTTTACAAGACTTTGTACAGTGTTTTTCAACTTTTAATGGCGTGAGTGTGAAGTGAAAAACGAGGAACTCAGCTGATCCAAGGAAAAGGTGCATGCCTGATTAATGTGTGGATTAGACCAGCCTGCTGGTGCCCACTGCTTGTGGATGGTGGATTTGCCCATAGCAGGCCGGACACAGTTACGAGGACTTGCAAAGCTTTGTATTAATGCATAAGATATGCCTGAATAATTTCCAGTACTTGGCATACTCTTACTGGACTTTTTGCACATGGCATACACTTTACATCCATCACATGTACTTGTTGATTTAGAAGATCAGAGAAACATGTAGATAGTGACATTGAGACAAAAGGTTGAATGGGAGGCAGATGAAAGGACAGAAATTACAGCTCTACGCACCACTCTTCTACGCGTACCTCGTCCAATGGCAATAAAAATTATTAAACAACACTGGAACAAATCTCTGCCATGTGATTGGTGGGTTGTTGATCACATCACTGACCTATTCGGCATATTCAATGGTGGACTGTTAAATAGAACTCGTTAAATATAGCAATGGGCAATGAGCACGGTAGGCACAGTCGCCGTTCTCCACACAGACAGACAAAACTTCAGTCGCAGCTCAGGACCAGAAAACTTCGTTCATAAAGAGAATTTCCAGGTGACTGTTCCCTGAAAATATTCTTGGCACTGCGCTTTTACACATTTGTTATTTGTATGCCAACACACAAATATACTGCTGTACAGTTACCTTGAATGCTTTCTTTAACATAGGTTTGACACCTGCTAACCCACCTTAAAGTTCAGCATACTTGGGAATATTTGAGTAACAACCATTTGTCAACCACAGATCGATATTGCCTGGTATCCAGGACATATTCTGTGCGCAGGTTACCAATGTAAACCAATCCGCAGTTGACAAATGGTCATTGCTTTAAACCTACCCCCTGGAGGACTCAAAAACAAAAAACTTGAATAACTACGTTAACACACTCAAGCACGTTGGTATAGGACTCGTTAACGGTGATGTGTATGACTAGGAAAACACACAAAAGTTGTTCGGTTTATTAACATCAAGAAACGGACACTGAAATCAGAGAAAGCAATCTGTATCGGTACACCATACACGGGAGTAGGTTATCATTGCAGGGGGGGGGACATCTAGGTGTACGTGTACTTACAAGGCAAACTCCTCTTTTTCTTTTTCGAGCGTTTCGGCTCTGCTTCCAACACGGACAAGCACGGCACCAAAAAAAAATTTACGGTGTGATAAAAAAATTGCAAACAGAAAAAATAACTATGAACATTGGTCACAGGTAAAAGAAATCAGGAGAAAAGATACAAATTAATTACGAGGGAAAAGGCAAACCTTTAGTTTATCGATCATCCCACAATGCATTGCTCATTACCAGCTCTGCGCAAGATATGCAGCAGGGAATGTGGCAAAGGGAATGCCACCCCATGTGATGCGTAAGCTATAAACCGTAGGCTATTGCACCAAATGCATCCTCCTCTCAAAATCTGAAAGGAATTCCCAAGATTCTCACAACACAAATGATGATGCAAAGTGGGGTCCTAATTTGCCTCATGTGCATCACATGCTGTGCAGTGAGTCACAAGTTACCAGATGACCAGATGAGTAACTCATCAGTTTCAAGTGACTGTCATTTTGCGCCATGACAGTTTGTGAAGGACAAAAAAGATAAATTGATATCTTTAATTTTTTTTTTACTGGCAATCATTCTTTAAGATACTATTTTGTCTTTCACGTTTTTGGAAAGGTGTCCAACAAATATGCGAAAAAGCTTTAATTGGAAATTTGTTTCTCATATGATGTGTCAAAATTCCTTTTAAAAACAGTCTAGGTTAAATATGTCTATGCCTTAAGAATCATTGAATAGCACGGTTTCATGACGTAGGCATCAGAGCTTTTCAAAACCTTTTTTCAGAGATGAGTGATTAACATTTAAAAGCTATTGTGGTGACTTGTGGCATTTTTCTCAGAGCAAGTCGTGTTTTGTTTGTGACTTCTGGGGGTTTGTTCTCACCTCCAGGCAGTGTCTTGAATTCTATCTCAGTGGCCAGCTTCTCTTTGACATCCTGTGATGTTTTCCGACTCTTGGCTTTGACACTGATGCGGTAGACAGAGAGTGGGGAAAGACCTGTCAAAAAAAATGGGAGAGAACATCAACAAATCACTTTTTAAATTGGCAAGAAGCTTGAAGGGGTTGAGCACATTAGGGAGACATGGTTTACAGACATCCGTTGCCATTTGCCTATAAGGGCCAGCACAGACTAATTTGGCGGCCAGAAACACAAGTCATTACTGCAGCAACAAAACACTCGTGGGAAGGTGGTACCCACGACTAATAGGGTGTTGAGACTTGCCAAAATGCACGCCCACCTCAAGTTGGAAGAACTCATACTTGTAGCCTGCAGAGCCACATCAGTAATGGCGTCCTCTTGAGTCAAACCACAAATATACAATAACGGATATCCAGGAGCTTTTTAGCACAATACGCATGCAACTAGGGCAGCATCGGTACTGTCTGACAAAACAGACACAAACACACCGACTGCCACTTATACACGGAATAAGAAAAGTGTTCAGTTAAGTATCTGCTGTCAGCCATCTTGGTATGAATCCTTTGCACATAACCTCTGACACAGGAGTGCCTTTTGTATTACCCATATCAAATGTTCAACAGTGAAATCATTCAGGTAAGGCCCTTACTCGCGTAGGTACTGCTCTATTTAACATGGCCCTGGCAATGTCATTAGCAGCTGCATGTTTGAGCCATTTGCAATAATTTGTTCAGTGAAGAAGAACTCAACGTAACATCTTCCCTTCATCTTACCTGTTAAGGTGTATCTGTAGACACTGGGCTTGACTGTTTGCACTTCTTTTCCGTTGACCGTGATCTGGTGGGCCAGGTTGCTGTTGCCGGGCAACCAGCTGATGTCAGCTGAGGTTGGGCTGACGTTGGATGCCTTCAAATCGGTCGGGGCAGCCCATGCATCTGTGAGGTATCAATGAGAACGGAATATCAATAAAAATCAAAGTAGAAACTTTACTCCAGGTTTGTCATTACTTTTTCTTTTCATCGCTCGCATCTGTATGCTTTTTGGTTGTAGTAAAGGAACATCGGACAATCGTCAACCCATCCCAACCCAACCAAAAGGAAAACATTTTAAAACATCTTCCTTCTTCACTAATCAAACCTGAGTGCCAACGAATACCATAAATGTCTTTTTCTAAACCCACAATATCCGATGATCTCAACCTACCCTTTCCGATCATGATGGTGCAGGCGGCGTCCTCCGACGTGCCCTTGGACGTGACAGTCCGGACCGAAATCCGGTAAGTCTCCAGGGGCTTGATGTTCTCTACCAGTGCCCTGGTCTTGGCGTCCCACTTGGTGGCCGTCCGGAACTGGCCGTTGACGTAGACACAGTACTCTTGGACGTCAGCGGGCGCGATGGTGTCCGGCAGCAGCCAGGAGATGATGATGCTATTCTTGAGCTGTCGCTCTAGGGTAAGCTTCTTGGGACAGGGGACTGTAAGGACAAACATTATTCCAAAGGTTTACTCCAAAGTCTTTCCACACTTTCTTTTTTTTCCCTTCAGGAGCACTGTGGCCTAGTGATTTCAGCTTGTAACTCCTGATCATAGGATCGGGGTCCAAAGCCAGTGATGCAGCATACATTGTGAACGTACACCTTTAGCACGTCACTTTGCCCAGACTTCTCTCCACCCAGGAGCATATTTCAGTACCTGTGAGGCCAGAGTAGGTTATTCCAATTGATGTAATTCTTGGTAACCCTTGAAATGGTTGCACCAATGGTTGTAACACTCGCCTAGAAGTTGAAATGGGTTAGTTTACATAGAAATGTTTGTAGGTCCTCAATCGGAAGGGGAAATTTTCACAGTGGGAAGAGCACCTGTGAAACCACCAGGCATAAGCAGTTAATAGACTGATTCATGAAGTCCCAACCATTTAGGGACCTGCTAGGATGGGGGGGCATGCCCCTCCCCCAGCTTCTGCCACCAGTGCAGTATGGATAATATGGTATTCAGCACACCAGGGGTCTGCTAGTGCTGAAATGTGCTCTACAAATGTGTCATATTATTAGTCCATCAGAAGTCTATCCCAAGTAAAAGTCAGTCACAAGTCAATTTGTGACATTAGTCTCAAGTACTAAAAACATGAGATGACCAGCAAAAAGGGGATATCTTTGTCACACCATCTTTGCATAGTCTGAGACTTGACTACTGACGGACTGGACTACATGGTAAGCTGGGGCCAATTTCATAGAGCTGCATAAGCACAAAATTTGCTTAAGTGCAAAAAACGTGCTTAAAAAACAAAGGTTACCAGCTCAAAATCTATGTGATTGTCATGCTAACCAAAAGACAGGTGAATACCATTCCAGAACAACATACATCACATGGAGTTTTGGCTGCTAATGTGATTTGTCAAGCAAGGTTTTTTCATGCTTAAGCAAATATTGTTCTTAAGCAGCTCTATGAAATTGGCCCCTGCTTACAAGCTAGACAAGCTGGACTAAGTTAAGCCCGAAATGACAAAAACCAATTAGTGAAAATGCTAATAGAGTTGAAATATTTGATCAGAAGGGGGCTTCGCCATTTAGAACCGTCAGGTCAACTGATTCTCAGTGATAAGGCAATCGTGAGGCCAGGAAACCCATAACCCCTCTCACCGTCAAACACATAGTCAGCTGCAATGTCGCTGAGCGAGGTCAGTCCCTCCTCACTGGCCAGTGCCCTGCTCTGACCTTTGACCCCATTGTCCTCATCCACCTCCGGGATGTCCTCCAGGTCGCTGTGGTGCTCACTGCTACGGCTGAAGCTCTGCAGCTCCCCAGCAAAGTGGTTCAGGTTGCCACGGTTCAGGTCCTCCTCCTCACTGTTGAAGTCCAAGTCCTTCATGTCATCTGAGAGGATCATGCCAAGAATGTTTAAACAAACTTCTGATTAAAATATGCAGCAAATGAAAAGTACAGATTTTTATCACTTTCATGCTGTACACAGGGCACTCGTTTGAAAAAAAAATCAATATAATATTTTTCTTCAGCAATTTTGTTTAATACAGTAAGTTCTGCATTGGTTGCTGGCATATCATGCACCTTGACCATCTTGGTCTGGTAACTTGACTGCACAAGCATGAGAAATTCTATTACATCAAAGGCACTAGCCTCAGATTTGATCTCTTGAATAATGATGATACACTTGTCGATCACTGGCTGAACTTCACCAAAACCAAGACACAACATCTATTGCGATGCGGGAAAATGCATGCATACATATATAAGGAACGGTTACAACTGAAGCACAGAGGTCTTGTCACTGGGGTGGAGAGTAGATTTGTCAACAAGAAGAAATGCAAGAATAATTTAGTAAAAAACAGAAGTGAAAAGAAAAGATAAAACATCACAAAACGTTAGAATAATAACCAAGAACAGACAAATTAAAGAAGAACGGCCAAAAAAAAAGCATCTGAAGATGAGAATTCAGCTCAGTTGTCAGAACTGACAGCCAACCTTTCTCTTATTATCGGTAGCTCAACAGTAACCAGGCACTTGCATTTGCCAGTTTTTTCAGTAGCTCTCACATATGTACATGTATATTCACAAACAAAACAAACTACATGTACATGCATGTACTTTTACAGATAGGAATCACAACAAAAACTGGTTCTCTAAGACAAAACTTTACAACAACCAATGAAAATTACAAGCAAAGCGATTATACATGTGGTTTGCCGGGTAAAGCTTGCGCACATCACACAAGCAGAAAACATTACGGAAAGGAGAACGATGAACAAAATGCAAGCTGCTGCCACCACCACCACAATTAGCCACTGGCGATGAACTACAAAATTACATATTGAAACCTTTTCCTTTCAAGATACCCAAGTCTGGAGCCCCGACACCACCTACTGCAGCTGCACTACTACTCCCGGCCACGGCAAGGGGCGGGTCGGAAAGCAAGGCCTCGTGGGAAGGTTTGGGCGGTGCCGAAAGGGCGCCCTCTAGAGAGTATTTGACCGAAGAGCCTGTGGAGTCCAGTTTGGAAGCTATGGGCATGGCACAGACCAAAATATTGCTGTTAGGTGCAAGTGTGGCACAGTCTGGTAAGGTTGTTTTCTATCCATTTGCAATGGAATAAGCGAATGCATCAATTATGTATGTAAAAGGCATTACCATGAGAACCTGTGCTTGAACTAACACAAGCACGTATCTCCTTTGTTTGCACTACGCTTCTCGGTTGAAATGACATCGCGCTTTTAACCTCAATTTTTTATCTGCTGGACATACAGTTAAGGTTTTCCTCTCTTTCACAAAAACAAGCATTAATGCAGTAGTTTTACAACCAACATGGAAATATGCAATAAGACTATAGACCTTGATCCTGTGATGTCACGATCGTGCTGGACCCATGATGTGTTGTGAAGGTAATCTTCCTATCCAAGATAAACTAGTCAAGCATGCAGCGTTCGCACATGCGCTCGCACGTGGTTGAAACAGTCCATAGGAATATATGCGATCACCGTGGCCACAGCGCCCCACACATGGTGGTATTGTTTACATTTAGCGCAATCCAGTCACGTAGGTGAAAAGGTGTATAACTGAAGTACAACTTTTAAGAGACACATCTGGCAGTTTTCATGTTTGAATTCATATATCCAAAAATGTCAAACAGATTTTTTAACAGACTGAAAATCGCTTTCACATGCACTAATTTACTGTTTATGACTGTAGGTCGTATCACTGACTACAGCTAAGCGAGTACTGCCAGTCGATTCATTTGAGTTACAACAAATGACAAAATTAATCATTTAGTCAGTCAAACAGCAGGAAAGCTCTTACCATCGCTGTCCATTCCATTGTTGTTCATGAAACCAGGAATGTCTTCCTCTGATGATAAATTTTAAAAAAGAACAAACGTTGTGAATACAGCATTGCTTAAAATTTGGTTTGTGCTTCTAATTTTTGTGCATTCTTGGGCACTGACAACATATCCTACTTGTTTCAAATTACTTCATTGTCCTTTGATAAAACTCCCCCTAATCCAACCTTCACCAAAATCTCATCCACTAATCCTTCCAACTGAAATGGAAATGTCCAGATGAGTGCATGCACATTTACTATACCTGAATCTACACACATACACCATGATGTACAATACAGATGACAGAAAATGCATAGAACAGAAAGCAGAGATGAAAAGAACTTTCCCCAGTGAGATACACATGATTAAGTAATTAACTTTGTTGTAGCTATCAGCAGAATTCTGTTTATCTATCTATTCTACTTTCAAAGTAAAGTGCCCTTTATCAGGGAGGTAATTGGTAATGCCACTCATCACAACTCCATTGCCAGTCCATCCACTGGCCACTGTTTCAAAGTTTAGGGTCTGGTCACCAAACTTCTTTCTAATACGTTTGCCTAGTAATTGATTTGTGATTCAACTTGTGTCTGACTACAATCTATGCCCTGCTCCCTTTCCCTAAATTTAAATGCGGTACTCCTTTTCCTAGATCTCCCCACTGCACTGAGGATTCCAGAATAAAGACTTGTTGAGGAGGAATGTCTCCTCTGCGACCAAACTAGAAATTTCTCTGTTTCAAGAATTTTCTAATAGTTTCCTCATTCCCAAATATTTGGGCTATTGTGCCCAACAGCCACAGAGAATTCTACATTGAGGACATAAGATCCATAAGATCATGTTACAAGAATTGACTTAAGCAAAGGTGAAGGATATTTGGGTGTCAATAAGGCTGTTATCATGCATATAGACTCAATCCCACTCATGCAAGGGTGGGGATGATTACATTTTGTGGGGCTTGCTTTTGACAAAGCAGAATGCAAGACAAATCTATCAAAGGTCAAGGAGATGTACTTCCACAAATGCTTGGAGAATATCTTTGCATTCCAATCTACCCAACACCGCTCTGCAAAAGTCAGTTTGTAGGCATTCTTGTGGGGTGCTTTTAGGCGCATACAAAGCAGTACTGTTTGAGAAAATTTGACATCCCATTTGAAGTCAAGAAGGAAACAAAAACATGTCATCATGTAGCAACTAAACATGCCACAAGTCCCTCCAATGCTTGGATACAAATTAGCACTGAGCTACACAGCTCATGTAGTTGTGATGTAACAAGTGTAATCACTTAGAAAACGTTTCACAATTAAGTCAAATTTTCTTGTGGTGAAATTGTGTCAACATTTTTAAAGGACAGATTCTGAAAAAAAAACTCCTCAGTGTGGAAGACAGATAATAAACTGCCACTAACTTTCTGCTTGATTTCATCAACTCATCTGAAACTCAATTTCAATGAAACAAATACTACGGCCAAGCAAAAAAAAAAAATATTTGTTACCACATTATGTGCAGCCAGACATGGCGTATAAAACTATGAGAACATGCAAATATGCAGTGCTGGGGTGGGAGGGTGGAAGGGGTGGAGCTTATTTAGCTGACAGGGGAGGGTGTTTCATGGCAGGTTGCTCACTTGAGAGGCACATGTAAATTTGGTCTTTTTAATTACCTCTGATATCATTCAAATCTCTCGTACCTAGATTAAACACAGGTGACAAACAAATGCCAACGTGGTGACAGACACACAGACAAAACAAAGTGGCAAAGGAACCGGTTAAAAGAATAAAAAAAAAATATAACAATACATCAGCCAAAAAGTAAACATCATTTCAAACCAAAACAGGTGAAGTTGTCACTGGCAAATAAAATACAACGCTTACACTGAAAAGAGCTGCATCTCTCAAAACAGTTTTGGTGCTTCACTTAAATCAAAAGTGGGTGCTAATTTGAATAAAGTTCACAGAAACAAGCGAAACTATTTGCTGAGCAAAAGAAAAATTTGTGAGGAAGAGGAAGACTCAAAACAACTCAATTCACACGGTCTTGACCAGATAGCAATTACGACCCTACAGAATGAGTACTTTAGTAGGAGTTTTGATCAAACACAAGTCAGAGATAGGTTTCTGAAAGTCTTATTCGTTCACCACGATCTGCTTTGCAAAACCCAAGAAACACTTTACTGTACACCTGTAGATCACACTCTATATTACGCAACAAAACTCTTAAAAAAGGACTCCAATGCATTTCAACCTGCAACACTTTCTAAGGGCACTGCAGGGGACCAGCCATCCAGGACAGTAGTGTCTGCCATATTGTGTCTCATCACTGGTGCACATATATGTACAAAAACATGCACATCTTTGTCTGCATACCTGCAACTCTTTCAATGAAATTGCTGGGCACCAATCCTCTTTGGCCATTCATCAGCTCGCCATCATAGAAACCATCCTGGCGACATAAAAATATACACAGAGATGAAACCGAAGAAAAAGAAGAGGCAATTACATAAGAGTAAAGAAATCTGTAAGGATAAACTTTCAACTGCAGCATATATCATCAAACAAACCATACGGGTGAGCAAAGTACGCTGCAGGAAATAGGGTTAAATTGGGACGAAAATTGTTAAAAATCAATGTTACTTTACTATACCACTTGAAACTGACATTTAATACGACATGAGCTCGTGATTTCACCAAAGCAAAAGACAATTAACATAATTTTGACTGGTTTTGTCATTTTTCTTATTTGCAAGATGACAGAATAGGACATGTTTGCTTTTGCAAAAGCAAGATCTTGCTTAAAGGGATCTTAATAGTAATATACATGTATCGACCCTTCAACAGGTTAACATTTTTGTTTCAAATAATGTTTGTGACACAAATTATAGTAAGAGTTGGTGCTCGGATCTGCCAACCTTCCAGATTAGAACTGGAAAAAAGGAAATTTTTCATTTTGAGAGGTCTTGGCTCCGCCAAACAATTTACCAATGCAAATGTAAAACTCCCCCCCTTATTACTTCGCTGTCAGACCGACTGCAAAAGTCCCTTTTAGGAAAACATATTCTTTTTAATTCTTCCCTCCGACTTCAAGACCCTTATTTGTTTTTCTTGAGACCACAGAAAATACTATCTTTTTGCATCAACTTATAAAAAATTCTCGCCTTCAGAAGAATAAAACTACTGATGAACTAATTCACTGTATGGTATCTCACCTCTAACTTCACTTAGAACAAACTATTGATATTTTTACTTAAAAGACCATTTAAAAATAATTTAACATTTCTGTGGACAATTCCATGCAACACTTGTGCAAGTTTTTCACACTGAACCAAATCTATATACAAGTATATCGCAGTAAAATGTGCATTCAGTGTGTGACTTTAAGCATTACAACACATTAAGAATCAAAATAGTGCTTAATAAAAAAGAAAGAAAAATCCAATGTGATGCAACTTTTATACCTTGCGAATTCGAGCGATTAAACAGTATGGGAAAAGAAAAAAATGTAAATGAGTTTCACAATATATACACATACAAATTTTTTCCTAGTAATATAAAGCAGTGTTGGATATGACATCACCACGAGATATGTGGAGATCAATGCAGTGAAACCAAATAATTACAGAAGGCATTATTCATGTTACTGGGCAAGCATTTCCCTTCGGTTACTAGCTCATTCCAAGGGGAAAAAAAAGAACAAAGGCACTGTAAACTATGGAATAAAACCCATGCTCAAAGAAAAAATTAATACAACCGAAAAAGTAAATACAACCGATTTACTTTGAGTGAGGTTAGGGAGAAAAGACAGACCACAAAGCAAGTAAGTTGGAGTGACATCTACAAGCATGACAAGAAAATGAAATCTGACGCCAACATCAGTGAAGTAGCCCATTCCAGTCTCCATGCCCTTCTTCCGCACATAGACAACAAGTACATGGACCAAGACTGTACAAAGCACAGGCCAGTTCTCAATTGTCCTAAGTAGATTTCAACCTGATCAATTTCCACTTCCTCTAATACTGACTTCTTTTATTTCCCAAGGTTGCAAACTATATCACTCCACGTGTCCAGCCGAGATCAAGCATCAAACTACACAGAGAAGTCTACAGCAGCTGAATTCTTCCACAACCAATTCCCATTGGCTTCTTTGCATTCTTTCCAAAAAGTCAGCATACCTGAGTAGCGCGAGGAGGTTTAGGCCTGTTAAACTAGAAAATAAAATGCTTAGGTCTAAGTAAACTTCTGAACTGGCCTGTCTGTGACACAAGTTAAAAGAAAATAAGATGACAGATTGAAGGAAGCTATTCAAATCCTTCTCCTTGAGGTTCAACACTCACCCATTCTGACTCCTACACAAGGTGGAAGCAACATGCAATAGAAAATGCCAGATGGATGATTATGATCATGCGGGACAGAAAAACAGCCCCCCCCCCACAGAATTGGGTAAAGTTATACAGAGCACTGCATGAACAAAAGGGGGCGCTCTTGAGGTAAGGAATGGAAGAAAGGAACTACATGTACTGTAGCTGAAACCATGCAGAAGGAATTCAGGTGAAACCCCCTCTTCAACAATTTTTCGAAGCATTAAAACAAAATTTCACAAACTTTTCCATCCTTTCCCTTCGTTTTTCTAAACATAATTCTGTTGTCATGATCACCTACAAAGGCTAAAACTGACTAAGCTTCCAAAAATAAAATTTATTTCCATTTAAGGAAATATTACTCTGATTTGATAAAACAAGATGTTCTCATAACATTGGAAAATCATGGTAGGTTACACAAAGAGGAAGTCAACATGTAATTTCAAAGAAGGAAAAGCGGGGGCAGTTCTGACGGAAGGCATGGCCTGTTGCTAAATGCAGTCGCATGATGGACAGGGTGATACTCATATTTTGACACAGGAGTAAAACCCAGCATCGGGATGGGAAACATACTGAAAGAATTCAAGCAATGGAGGGAGATAAAAAGTTTGAAATTTATGAGTGCAGTACCCTCTGATCATTAAGCAAGCTTCGTGTAGAGCTGACTCTTGCAAATTCATAAGCAGAACACAAAAACATTTGTAACCCACTTTTCATTATAATAAATCACAGGGCTACTTTCCAGTAATGTTTGATTCGGTTGGCAGTAGACAGAGCAACTTGAGCTTGTTCCATTGATGTATCGGTCGGTTTGGAGTCCTCATGAAACTGGACATTATGTGGCTGAAAAAATGCAGAGGGTGCCTGACCCTTTGCACTGTGCACTGCACTGTTCTCTTGGAGGCCTTAAGCTTAAAATTGGCTCGGGCAACTTGTGACTCACTTTCATAGAGCTGGTCACATTCGAATACACTGTAAGTAGCACCATAGGGGGTGGGGGCCAGGAGGTGCAAGCTGTCCCTGGGGACATTTGCCATTTTAGTGAATTTTTCAGGAAGTGAAAGTGGCAACACATTGGAAATGGACAAACATCTTGTATTGGAGAAGGAACTAATTTAAAAATCTTTGGGCATTCTTTTCAGAGAAGATCCCCCTTGTTTGCATCCCCCCCACAAGTTGGATCCCCCACGAGTTGGATCCCCTACCATGTAAGTTTGGACCATTGGCTCGGGCAACTTGTGACTCACTTTCATAGAGCTGGATTGAGCATTAAACTGGGGGAAAACCAATGTAAGTTTTTTGCAAGCATATCATCCAAAGCTCACTGAAAATAATATTTTAAACCCTGAAGTAACAATTAATGACCAACTCTCCACATCTCGGAACAAATTGATGCTATTTGATCAAGGGATATCCTGCCAACAAGCTCAAATTTCCAACACCTGAGGGAAGCATAGTCTACCTAAAGTGCCATTGCTTACTGTCACCCCACAGGAAATCTATAAGTGGCAGTGACAGGCAGAGATAAACAGATAAAATTGATATCAGGAAGTGCTAGCTAGTGAGCGTGTTTTTTATGCTGGCTTTGTCATGTTTTTCTCCAACTCAACATGACTAAGAAAATAAAGTGAACGGACTTTCTTTTTCTTTAATTCATGTACGCCTGGAGAGAATGAAGTGCACAATCCCATGGGAATGAAACATGATGACATGATGACACTTTGCCCTCAGGCTGAATCAACTGATAAGTAAAGTAAATGATAAATCTGATGGAGGGGGGGAGTACATCTGTTAATTCAAATACTACAATACCAGCTTGCCAGTTTTTCCCCTGAGGAAAAAGTAGTCCCTCAAAGGCCCTTTGTAAATCTTGTATTTCTACAGTAAATCATTTCAGCAAATACTCTTTATCAACTCAAGACGTTTGATGTAGATGCAATAATATACAAAGAAGAAAATACCTGTTACGGCAAAACCTCAGTCTGAGTTTTCAAGCAGAGAAAAATTAAAACATGTCAAGCGTGCAGAAAGTTTCCAAGACAACAAGGTAACTTTCTGTCAAACTGGGATGGGGGGGGAGGTGGGGAGGTCTCACCTCATCCGGATCACCGTAGACGTATATGTAGTCCCCTGCAGTCAGTGGTAGTTCCGCATCTGGGTTGTCATTTGGTGAATCGCGGTAAGGGTCATAGTTGTATCTGCAAGAGAATGGGGGGGTGGGGAAGAGATAACGTACATAGTAGTATGGCCCAGAAGTTGGAGAGAGGATGTGCGTTTGCACCAATGACACAATCTTCAATCGTCAGACTGTCAAAAATCCAAGAAATTTAAGTCAGTGAATGAATATTCATTTTCTCGGCTGGGGAAAAACATTGTTGCCCTTCAGAGGTTAACTTTCAATTGCAATGTGCTGTAGTTCAGGGCATCATCCGCTCGATACATGTCGATAAAGAGTGAAAATAGGTACATTTTGTGTCATTTTGGTCAATTCTGCAACATGACCAATTACTTCCAAATATTCTGATGCAGCACGGTCCCGTTGTAACAGACATTTGATCACACCCATGCTGAAAAATTAAGTCTATGCACCTAGAATCAACAGTAAAATCTGTCACTGAAACCCCCGAGAGCAGCTGTAATCTGCAGAGAACAATCTCAGCACCTCCCCTTTTTTCATTCAGTAACCATGACATTTCCCTCTTTAATCCAGCTTGTCAGTACCTTGCAATAAAGACCGCCAGCTTGCTGATGGGGCCCATAGTGGTGATGGACGAGGCTTGGTTCAGCCGATTCAAGATGGCCGCATCAATCCGGTCGCTCAGGTCCTCCATCAGGTCCTCGGCATCACTGGTGTCCAGCTACAAAGAGGTCACGAACCAGTACCCAAAAAATTGAAACCATCGTCATACTAGTTATAAGCAGCAATTCTTGTCAGTAATTGAGCCAGCAAGCAGCACATACTTGCATACAGAATATTACATCCATCAGTTCTTATTTTGAAAAAAATATTTTTTTACAACATTTTTATAGAGATAATGATAACTAAATTCCCAATCTGCAGATTTTTTATTCTGCAAATGAAAAGAAAAAAAATACATGTAATTGTAGTTTGAACCAAGTCCAGAGCATGACAAATATTGTAAACAGGGCAGCTAAATATAGAACCAGGTAGTTTTCCTCACATTGCGCAGCACAATGTTCACCGAATGAGTTGTGGACATGCCTTAAAAGTATTCCACGGCAATTGAAGGATTAGAAATCCAACCTACCTGACATGGATACTAATTTGTCCCTGAGTACCAAAGTGAACTATTACATGCATATGCCTGAATCTTCGACAAACCGAGACACAATGATCCAATATGTACGTGTACCTGGTACGTTGGACCAGGTGGGGCTGAATTGCTGGTAAGAATGCCAGATGTCAGAAACATTGGGAGGGATCCATAAATTTGATGGTCATGGATTTCTTTGAATTTTCAAGGTGCATTGTCCTAAAACTACATGCACCTGATACAGAGCCCCTCAGTATTCCATATGGCAGTTTCTGACAAACAGCGACCTAAAACAGCTTGCCCGTATTTTCTGGGGAAAACATAAACACTTTTCAAATGTCTCCAGAGGAGCTTCCACGCACCTGTCCATTCTCGATGCCCCTGGAGTGGTCACTCTTTCGGCTGACCGTGTCGCCTGAAGCTGGGTAGGATGTTCGCTTCTCCAGGGTTGGTTCACTCTCGTCTCTGCCGGGCAACCCGCCTGGGTCAAGTAAATGTACAGATCAAGACAAAAACACCGTAAGTAACTTTAAACAGGCTTCTCACTCTTCCAAGGTGCCTCAGCTGAACGACAAGTTCAAAATCATTTCTGATTGCATCTCTTCAAATTCAACGGGGAAAAATCCAAGCAGACATCAACTGTCAGGCAGTATAATGCCAACGCTGAAAAAGTGTGAAGAAAAACTGAACAAGTAGAAATGCAAACTGTGAAACGGTTACGAGTTTATAATAAGTGCAAAGACGTGGAGATACATGTATTGTGGCTCGACATGGTCGAGAGAAAAGGAGGAAATTGTGTGCAATTTTATCAAACTGAAAATCAGTTCTGTGAAATGTCATACATATTTATGATGAAAAAATATTAAAGACAAGTTATACTTCAATCATAAACAAATGCAATCCTATCCATTCCTTGGCACAAATCAATTTGTTCACTGCACCATGTAGGGGGAGATTTTAACTAATTCCTTGTATTTACATGCATTCTCGGTAAAAGACCTATCCCACCTCCAAGGAAAGGAAGGCCAACAAAAACGGTCAAGGGTGCTCAAACTGCACGAATTCCTTTGAAAACAGAACTTTTTCATTATTAGGGGAATATCAGGCTACAATCGAAGAAGGAGGGAAACACTGGAGTGCATGGCAAACAAAACAGTGACACAGACAAGATGGTTTTTATTTGGTGACGCTAAAGATGTACAGGATGCTTTGTTTATGGAACTGAAGCAAGAAGAGAAATGTGAGTACGAGATCTGTAACAGAGGCTCCAGGTCCTTGCTATGAGATGGATTTTGCCCAATACAGGTATTCATTTATGCATGGTGAAAGATTAGCGTGTGCTCAGATGTAAGTCTGCTATCAGATTCCACAGTTTTATTCCACCAAGCTGCTTGAAATTGTCTAAAAAAATAAGTACATGTTGTGTGATGTTTACAAAGTTAAGATCTCCACATGCACAGTGTATACGGTTCTGTGGACAAACCCCTTTGTCACTGTATCACATGCACATCTTGATGTACATGTACATTGTTAAAAAGTACAGCGAAAAGCAGAAAGTTTATAATGTGAGAGAATGTGGTGGGCTGGTCACCATGTGTCAATTTACACATATATTTTAAAACAGATTTCGGAGAAATGGAAAGCAGCTCTGGAAAGCAGTGGCCAGAAGTCAAGTAATCTACCCAAGCCATGCGCCCAGGGAGGAGGGAGGATTCAGTCCAGGAATAAGCGGTGAAGGAGAACTGAGGGAATAAGCAACTTTCAGATCTCCCAATCACAGAGGAGACATTCAAGCACTAGACAAAGTTTTCAATTGGATTGGAACAATTTGGGGAAACTTCCATCAATTATATTGATATAGCACCTACAACAGTAACACCTACCGTTTTTATAACACCTCAATTAATCCTTGTCATATCATTACCCCCAACACTGTTAAGTATTTTGAAATAAATTCCCTTTAGAATGCTAACAATTTCCCTTTAAAAAACGATTTCATTTTGCCAAATAAATACAATGACAAGATTGACTCATTGAGTTTGGATAAATATTTAGATGGACAATATTGTAGCAAAGAGAGCTGGATAGTCTGGCTCTGTTGACACTAAAAACTGACAGCATACAAGGAACAGGAAACACGTTCATGTACATGTATTCAAATGACACAACTGTAGTGTTTACGTAATTTTCATTTTGTAAAAAGGCAGTTCAGCTTTCACTTTTGAGTTTGCAAACTTTATGTGGTGAACTAAACTGAATGTGCTGGCTCAGTTCAGTGAAAATGAAATCAGGATATTGCAAAAACAGAAATCAAAGGTCACTGAGTGATGGGCAAAAATCAGTTTGTCAAAGGGGAAATATCAAAATGAAAGTTACCATTTTAACTATTTTAACTATACTTTGGCAAATGGCCCAAAAGGGATTTTTGTGGGCGGGGAAACGCAGGTTCTTTTTATTCATTTTGCAGTCACAATTAATGGGGTAAACATTAAATTTATGATGTTTTTGAAATGGTTACATATTCATTGTTATTGAGGAGGGAAAGTAAGGAATGCCCTGTTCAGTGGTTCCAAGTTGACGGCAGGCTCTGAGCACTTGGACCAGAGGTGATATGCTTGCAAATTACCATCACTTTACAGCATTTGCATCCACAGAAAGGTTACCAGGTAGCTCTCCTCAGACGTTTTGGACCTAGAATTTGGAGCTCATCCCCCACAGAGGAGAAAGTGCTCTCACAAAACAAAAGCCAGACAAATGTACATGTGTGCAGTTTAGGTCATGTAGAAGACATTTGTTGTTCAAGTACTTCAAGTATATTAATGAGCACTGTGTGCTGAGTGCTTGTCTTTGCAAACTCTCAAGCTTACTCAGGTGGGACTCGAACCCACGACCTCCTGCTAATGTACATTGGGTATTAAAGGGCAAAACCTGTTATATATCAGCATCTCCCCAATGCAAAAATATACCTGTATTTCAGTTCTATTTCCTTGAGCAAAAATAAACAGTGCAAAAGTACAATAAACAATTTTGTTGCTGTTCACTGTACTTTTGTACTGCTTATTTTTTCTCAAGGAAAATATAACTGAAACACAAGTACTTGTACATGCAGGCAAAGTGATTTGCATATAACACAAGTTAATGGTTTAAAGAAGTAAGAACTGAAACCTAGCAATGACTTTATTGCGGTGGGTGTTTCAAGGTTCATTGTACTCTGCTGTGAAAGTTTTCATCAAGGTTACAAATAGGGAAGTAATTTGTTTTGGATGTTTCAATTTAATAAGGCTATCCTGAAAACTGGCCTGAAAGAGGTGTGAAAATATCTGATTTCGTGTTGCGCTAATTTGGATATTCTGTGTATACCTGTAATATTCAAATACTTGTTGAAATTGAAAATTTGAAAACGAAAATCAATGAAAGAAAAAGTGAAAAAAATTCAATATTTTGTGTACACAATTGCATTTTAAAAGCATATATCAAAACATTATGAGTAAACTTACAGGCAGCTGAATGCATATTCCCAACAATAAGGCCAAACATTTACTTTCCGTTTTTGTGTATGGTTTCTGCTTTTAATGGAAATTTGGAAGAACCAGGTATTTCCATCGAACAAAAAGTCAAACACTTGAATATTCAGAAGTAGTGAAATTTGAATCTGGCTCAGCCTTGTGGTCTAATTACACTAAAAACTTGGAAAATTTTCATAAAATGAAGCTTTACGCATTCCAAATATTACAAAACCCCCAAGTGGACTATCTCTTCGATTTGAGGGCTTTGATTCACCTTTACAGGCACTGGCTATGCCACAACAAGCAATTTGAAAAATATTACAGCTACTTCTTCAGAAAACAAGCTTTAAAACATAATGTTAATGCCACAGATATTGATGTACTTTGAAAGAGTTGACATTATGCTTTGGCGGTATGTACGTAAATGTAATTTGCTATTTAAAAAAAAACACTGAAAACTGCTTTCAAACACAAACAGTTGTACACTTTTTATTTCATGTTTAAAAGGTTCGAACAGGTATTGAATAGAGACGCGAACGATTGTACCTTGTTTTTTTCAACTGATTGTTCTTCGAAAACCACAAGGAAGTCATGTCGCATGCTGGCTCACAGAGACAGGATAGTATCACGGCATGATGGACAAAACGCAAGTGATGTCATTTGTTTATTTATCCAAGGAGTTCATTTCCTTCAGGGATAGGAGGTGCTACCATTGTGTGAACAAACAGTATACATGTACGTATCCTTCCCTGCAAACATTTGTGAAGCCACGCTTTATGGGAAAGAGACAGCTGCACACAGTGTGGGACTGGAGTATCACTTTTCAGTGTTTTGTGCCTTGCCATATAAATGCCAACTGGATGATTAAAATTAACAAGTTCCAGGATGGCTCAGTCTACATGCAAGACAGCGTTTCTTTCTCTCCTATTAGTCCTGCTGGTTGTGAGCTGCAAGTCTGCAAGCCAACACGTTTCTCTCCAAAGGGAAAATGAAAATTCTGCCTTCATAGTGCTGCAAGGCAACACATTTGAGCTAAGTTACGAGATAAGTTTTGGAAACTTGGCACAGAAACTTAGCTTCCATTGCTCTAATGGGAAAGATATTGACATCTCCCTCCCCAACATGATGACAGAAAGTTCAAAAACTTCCACAGGCAATTATTCCGGAAGCCACCCTTATAATGGCAAAGAGCAAAAAAAGACACTGAAACTTGTGGTTAATAATGCGCAACAGGGTGACAGTGGATTATACAAATGCCAAGTACATGCTTCATTTCAAAATGAAAGCACCCGGACAACTTCTGATAGCGTAACACTAACAGTAACAGAGGAGCCTGCTTGTTTGGTCATTCCCATGATATCCGAGATGAAGGGTGACTCAAAGATTTTTAGATGTATTACAGCCGAAAACGATCCTATACTCTACTTCAAGTTGGAGAGTCCTAATAAGCACGTGCAGCAAATCCAAAAGTTTCCAAGCCAACCTGGGAAAATAACATTGCTCAATGTTACTGAGACCTTAAACGACATAGTCTTGAACTGCACCACTACTGAGAGTTCTTGTTCCAATGATCCCATCATCCTCGAGAATACCAAACCTCAAACTGCACCAACAACCACAGAATTGGAACTATCTACTAAAACACCTCCATCTAGTTCTCTAGGATCACCTGACATACACATAAGTGTGAAGGTGGCAGTGCCCATTAATACAGTTCTGGTCATCGCTCTCATTGTGACATGGTGTGTTCGAAGAAAACGCAGCAGGAATGGTGGACCGCCATCAACCAAGGACAGAAGAGATGACATATCTCCCATGGATGGTGCTGACCATCCAACATCCAGGCCCATGACGCATCCAGACTTACCAAGGCAGGAAGACGAGGGAACACGGCTCTACGAAGAAATCAATGAATGTGTACCGCCAGCGCTGCCCAGTCGAACAACGCTACTGACCAAAAAGAGTGGCCCAGGGAGACACAGCAAGAAGAGGTCACATAGGAAGACTAGAACAAGGAGGACAAAAGGTGAGTTGACTGTCTTCTGTTAAAACTGATGGAGAGTTAAAGGATGCTTTGTATCCCGATCGCACAACAAATAAAAACAAAAATCTCGTGCCAGCTCATCTGGGCTATATCAGAACACTGTTGCAGAAACGCAGAGCTTATCCCCATAGTTGGAGCCGGCTTCAACTGCTTTTGAAATTAGGAGATTTCAGGGGACTTATAAGTGTTGTTGCATGACTGTACTATTTCCCAAACTAAGTTTGGCAAAAGCGTGCCCACTGTTGAAGCTGAAAGCTTGACTATGCACACAGAAAAATATGTGAACATTCTAAAGAGATATTTATGAATAAAACTGAACAAAGGCTACAGCAATCGAGCTGCTACACCAAGAGAATGACAACGTGACAACATGTCAGCATTTATCTTTGCACAAAGTGAAGGGTACTGCATTTAATGTATATGTAGTTTCCAATTTCATGAATCTGTAAAACAAAAAAGAGGGGGGCACATCGACTAAAATTCACAAGAAAAGGTTGACAATTGCCAAAATTAAACCCATATTCTGACAAGCTACAATGGGCTTTTACGTGAGCATGTGTAATAATTCCAGACCTCTTTGGGTTTTAACTCCATTAATATTTTTAGTACACAAAGTACACGTACAACGTCGTATGAATTTGAGATACATTTTGTGTTTTAATTCTTCAACTGCACGTCACGTCATAAAAATATGCAACTCTTAATTACCATTTTAATTTGTTAAGCACATTGAAATTTTGTTTTTTCTGTATGCATTAATGTTAATATGCTACATAATTATAAACTAGAATTCTAGGAACAACACAGTGGATAAACCATTTGGAAGACTTTGCACTCTAAGGCCAAGTCATAAGCTATTCAAACGAACTGTGGAAAAACATTCCTTCGTCATAACTCACCTCATTACTTGTGACTGGTCTTGTAAAATAAAATATGATAGGACTGGACTTGTGGTGGGTTTAATTGTGCAGCCCTGCTGCTGTGCATCAACATGTAATCAGTCCAATCCGAACATCAGGCATTTCTGCTATCCTACACTGTGTCAGGAAATAACGCAACCCCTCCCATTATCCCAACCCTTTCTGTCTTTTAACCATCAGCCACAGACAGTGTGCCCAATGGCAGCCATGCCTACAGCCAAGTCCCTCTGGAGGCCTCCCCTGACAGAAATGACGAGGCCAGCAATTCTGCAGAAAACATTCTTGGGACTGAAAGGCTAGACCAAGGCAAGCCTCTTGAAGAGAAGGGCAATGTCCATCAGACTGGACGCAAGAAGCTTGAGCCTGGATACCATATCGTCCTTCCAAGCTCCTCCGATAGTGACGATCAAGATGATGATTCATCAGTGGACAGCATGATCAAGGTGCCAGGCCAAGACTATTCTAACAAGAAAGATGATGTCCACCCCAACAAACAAACAAAGTCTGGCCCAAACTACTTCACTGTCAATCCTAGCACCTCAGACCGAGATGATGATTCTGGAGTTGACGAGGACAAGGTGACGACTCCCGACAGTGATGATTCAGCCCCGGGACCATTCAACGAGAGCAACATTTACGTCGCAGATACCTCAGCATGGCAGATGCAAGAACTGTACCTCATCCCACATGCCAACAACACAGAGGTGACAAATCAAGGTGAGCTACCAGACGACAATGAAACATCCACAGACCAGCATGAAATAGAAGCATCAAGTGAAATTCAAACAGCAAACAAGCAACGTGAGATCATACACCCTGGCGATACCTTGAACGGAACACAAACCCGGATGCAATCCGTCGCACAAGGCGAACAAACATATGACACTTTAGAACACCAGACCACAGTGATTAGAAATCAGATCATTCAAAGACCCACGATACCACATGCATCAATAGACCCAGGAGAGGCCCATTATGATAAGACCAACATCAAAAAGACAGACCAAAGTGAGAGCTCATCAAGAAGAGTACGCAATTCATCAGACAATAAAATCAGCAAGACAAACGGTGGCATGCAGGGCCCCACAGCACGCAATCCCAAAACATCTCCTACAGCACAGCATCCCACTGTTAAAATCAAAGACTCCCGGCCAACTTCAAACAGCAGTCAAGATGCTCTCAAAACCAAAATGACAGTCACACCGGCCCAGCAACAGGACAAAACCCGAGACTACAGCAGTTTGCCTGAAACAAGGCCCACTGTTGAGTCATCTGGCTTACTGCATATGCCAAAGGAGCACACTTACGACAGCTTCAACCGCGGCAACTCAATGCGCAGGAACCAACTCGAGGGATACGAGCAGGTATCAGAGTCCAAGCCCATGCCGGCCGCGAAACCTTACATCATTGTCAACCTTGACAAACCTGCAATGAGAAACCAGAACGAACGCAAGTCGAGAACACCGGATTTAATTCCAGACCACCCTTACGAAGTCCCGCAGGCCAGACACCCCAACCCTACGGCATCAGATGAGCAAAACAGTGATTCCTGTGCTGCGGCAAATGATGAAGCCAGTAACAGGCATTCCTGGTCAGGTGATGATGCGAGACGAACACACCCAGACAACACAGCACAGAACAGCCCTCGCATTCCAACATCCAAAAGTGGGAACTCAAGAGTGGAGCAGCCTTATGATGTGCCACGCCCATGTCAACAAGTATCCTCTAGGCCCCCTGCAAAGCAACAGGTACCGGCTGTGGACCCCTCTGACACCATGCGGCAAGAGACACAATTAGACGGTACCAACGAGTGATGGCTACCAAGTCAAGTTTTGTTCTTGAACAAGGCAACAAGGGTGAGTATTGTAACTTCCAGCTTAATTTCTCCTCCAGTCCAGTCCACCAAATGGAGGCTGTTAGAAACAAGGTAAATTCAGTCTTTTTTTTTTTTTCCGGGACACTTATTTCTTCTGCAGCTCCATATGTTTAGCCAACCGAGATGAGGATTGAACACATGGGAAGGCTTTTCGGAGCTGAAAAAACTAAAAGCCACAAAAGGTAGAAATTAATTAGCTGGCAAAAGATAATGGTATAAAGAAAAAAGCTAATTGAGCTGAAAATTAGGTAATCTTGAAGCCGGGTTTTCTGTCTTGTATAACTTTCTACAGTACAGCATTTCCAAACATGGTACAACTCCAACTACAGCAGTGCCAAGGTTTATCCCACTTTTCCAGACGAGAGTGACGATGGCACGTTCTGCGACATCAACAGCAGCAAGGGGTTCAGGAACAGTAGTTATAGGTGACAACAGATGGCAGGGAACTAAGACGGTGAACAGAGAGAAAGCTTCATGAATGTGGGAGAAAATAGCTTTGACAAAAACACCACGAAAATTCACACATGGTTCACAACTGCATCACTTACACGTTTTTGTCTTGTAAAGTGGGAACCCCCTTGAAAGTGAAAATAATTGCAAGTTTGTGGGTTATGCTTAACACAAACACATTTCTTTGGTTTTCAATGGAACGATTGTTCACAAGGAAACTACGATACAAGTATGCAGACTGTGCAATCATAATTTAATTTCAGATGACACAGTATGCTCTACATGCATTGGGTGCGTATCGTAAGTCTGGCGCCTCATAGTTCCGGTTGCCAGTGGTGTTACCAATCTGTGTGCTGACAAGGAGCAGCATGCACTGGCCACAGACTGATGTGGACAGCAGTGGCAGAATTAAAGGGGAGGCATGCCCCTCCCCCCCTCCGGGTGCCCTCCCACTCGGAAATAAAAGAAAGAAAAAAATCTAGTGATTTCATTGCGACATAACCAAACCACTGTCCCTTCCAGAAAATGATACCCCGCAAGCCACCCCCCCCCTTTAAATGCACCCCCATTACGCCACTGATGGACAAGTATGTAAGTGTACAAATAACGATCACTGGGAACCACACTGACCCTGCAAAATTGCCAGATAATGGAATATATATATTTAACCCTCCCCAAAAAAACAATAAAATGAAATATCACTTTTGCTTATAATGGATGCCAATAGTGGACAACAACTGTATGTGTATAAGTTACTGTGCATGTATAAAACGAATAAAAATCTGCTTGTAAATCTGTTTAAAGCAAACTGGATTATGAATTTATCGGAACGTAATGCCAAGTTTTAGTCACCTGAAAAATCACCAAAGATTTATCAAAGGAATGACTAAATATGCTGTACATCAAAATTAAGTTGGCTTTGCATTAGGGCTGTCTGTTATATAAGGGTTTTGCTCTTGCACCAACAAATATTTTCACACATTGTTCTCAGTGCGATCTGAGAGTTAGAAAGAAATTGCACACTTGCTGGGGTGGGATTGGAACTCATGACCTCCTGCTAACCTGTGCAGATTTCTTAACCACTCAATAACCAAGTTTGCCTGAAGCTGGTGGCTGGCTTAAATCCAATGCAGCAGTGGGTACATACAGTAGGCAACAGTGCTTAGAACGCAGTGTGAATATACATCGGTGTCAGGGCAAAATCTAGCACAACATGTGCTGTAAATATTGCCTTAGCAGG